CTTGGCTCTATCACTGTTTGACTTGTGAATGGTGAAAATATGCAAGGCTTTGGGGAAATTATTGTAAATTGGAAACTATACAGCCTGCTGTTGTTCTTTTTCCTGCTCGCCACCTTATTACTGTGGTTCTTCAATACTCCCATTGCAATAGGACACCACGCGACCATACCTTCATTTTTACACTTTGAAAGTTATTCTGTTCAGGCCGTGATTGCTGTGCTAAACCTTCACTCAATTCCATACGCAAAACCCCCCATAAGAATGCCAGTATCTGGCATCAATTGGAAGTATGGAGGGGATGGTTTCATCACAAAGAAGCAAATCTAATTGAGCACATTGCCAGCACTATAGTGCAACCAAAAAAACCATCACCAACCAACTCCTGGCACCGATTGCTAATGAAGCAGTACAAATGCCCTGAAACTTTTGCAAGTATTGAATGCAGGCAGGGCCAGCCCAATACATTTTGGCACCTGAGGCAAATGACAAAATGGCTCCCCCTCTCTGCCGGGGAAGGGTGAGTGAAGATCTATGTCAGGGAGCAGGGGAAGAATAAAGAACTACATTGGGATCTGCTTCCTCTGGGCTTCTGGTGCTTGAGGTGGTCGTCCCACCTTGCTTCATGGGAGAGCCAGTCCTGAATGTAGGATCACATATAAGCACCCTAATAACACCAACAACACAAATAATCATGAAAGCACAATAAAAAGGATGTATAGAGGGACCCTTAATGTTTCTTCCATTGACTATTACATGTGCACCTTGTTCTTCCTCCCTAAGAACTCAGCACAACATACAGGGATTGTTCTATTTTACCTTATAATAAACCTTGTGAAAGTCACTACAGTGGTACCTCAGGTTAAGTACTTAATTCGTTCCGGAGGTGCGTTCTTAACCTGAAACTGTTCTTAACCTGAAGCACCACTTTAGCTAATGGGGCCTCCTGCTGCTGCTGTGCCCGCCGGAGCACGATTCTTGTTCTCATCCTGAAGCAAAGTTCTTAACCCGAGGTAACTATTTCTGGGTTCGCGGAGTCTGTAACCTGAAGCGCGTGTAACCTGAAGCGTATGTAACCCGAGGTACCACTGTACATCATTTTTGATTGGGGATTTCAACCTGGGCTACCCTAGTCCAAATCTAACCACCATATTGGCTATCCAGTCATCCAGTTCTCTGCATTGTTGCTACCCATTTGGAACACTGGGTAGTGTTTTTCTGAATTAGAGGAGGAGTCACCCAAAGAGTGCTGAGCCACACACACCTCTGAACCAAAGTTTTCTCTCATCTTTGTACTGAGCTGCAAACTCATGGGGTAATTGCAATGAGAAGCCAATTTTATGCAGGAGAGAAAAATCCGCAGAGAATTTCTCCAAAGAAGCCTTTAGAGCTGTCCCTTATTCAAAGTCCTATATTCATTATTCCTTTTCCTCAAGTCAAAAACACTTGCAGAGATAATTATCCAGCCAATCATGCAATCAATGCACCACCAGGCAATTGCCCAGTTTGTCATTACCTGATTATAATCACTTTCCAAGTATGGATGCAGGAACAATTAACAGCCAGTTTTCTTCCAAAGTCTCAATTCCCAAACATGCAGACAAAAATAGTCCCATGGAGTACTCCTCCTTGTTGTAGCAACATAAGCCGTAGCAAACTGGCAGTGCAATCATGAGAACAGCATCAGTCTGCATGCTTGTGTGTCGGAATTGAAACACACAAAGCTTCATTCCGCTATTAATCTTTCAGGCGGAATACTTTAACCTAAGACTGCCAGAATTTTAGGGTTCTAGAGTCAGGTAGAAATAAAAAAATATCCGGTAGCACCTTAGAGACCAACTAGGTTTGTTCTTGGTATAAGCTTTTGTGTGCATGTATAAACTAGAAAGCTTATACCAAGAACAAACTTAGTTGGGCTCTAAGGTGCTGCTGGACAATTTTTTTAGAATTTCTGGGGCCAGTTCAAATAAGCAACTGCTTACTAAAAATGTGTTTAGATTAGCTCAGAGGGGCTCAAGCCCCACCAATGTGCCTAGAACTGTGATCTTGTTCATCTAGCACACAATTTGCAATGAAAAATGCTTGAGTTCATTTGCAGCTTTCTAGTTTAGGAAAACAAGATTAGTAAAGGGATGTGACAGTGGTATATAAAATGGTGTGGAAGAGAAACTAGATAGGAAAAGTGTATCTTCCTCTCTCATAATGCTAGAACTTGGGGCCATCTGATGAAACTGAATGATAAGGATCCAGGACATACAAAAGATGTACTTCATGCACACAGAACATAGCTAAATTATGGAATAGATGCACAGATTCAAAGGCCGGTCAAGTTATTTTGACACCTAAGGCAGAAAATCCCACAAGTACCTCTCCCCTTCCTGACACGAAATGTATGACAATCATAAACGAAGCAACTAATAATTTACTACCCCTTTAATTACACAACAAAAACAACTGTACGGAGAAACCTTCCCCCTACACCTAATTAGGGCTGTCCCAGATAAGCCAGCTTCTTATGTCCAGGCACACTGTAGGATGTTACTGCGTGGAACTATTCTTCTGTAGCCACCCAGAAGTCAGATTAAAAATTTGGTTAGCTAGAACTACACCTTGAAAGGGAGCAAACTGAGTTTAGCCAAGGAGTCATTTGATTGGTCTTAGCATGCTGCCTCTTCTGTTGTTGTTTAGTCGTTTAGTCATGTCCGACTCCTCGTGACCCCATGGACCAGAGCATGCCAGGCACTTCTGTCTTCCACTGCCTCTTCTAGGTGCTCTTAATTTGACATAACATAAGCCAAGACAGTGATGCCAAGTGGCTGAGTAAATCTATCTCAATGTTGTGTGGATTAATTCAGCAGCATGGTCGAGGTTTCCCCAAAGCTTTCCTGGAACATCTGTCCAATCTACCCTGCAACAATACCTGTAGAGAAAGTGTGGTACAGTGGCCAAAGTGTTGGACTTTGACTGCAGAGAACAGGGTTCCAAGTTTCTGCTAGTCTTTGAAGCTGGCTAACCTTGAAGAACCCACTGTCTCTCAGCTTCACCTCCTTCACAGGGCAGTCATGAAAATAGGATGAGACAAGTCTGGGTACCTCTCACCTCTTTGGAAAGCCAGGAGTCAGATGTGAAAAACATATCCAGAAGTATTTCTTCATAGCACCATTTATCATTATTGATAGTGGGGTGGCCCCATGCATGCATGATGCCCAGAGCAACTGCCCCATTGTCCCTCCCAAAGAGACTGGTCTTCATCTTCAACCACAATGAACCCTAAGCAAATGCAGCCAGTTCAATATTTTCACTCCCATTCTCCTTTTTCCTCTTCACCCCATATTATTAGAATTTAGACCCACATTATCCCGTAAAGTGCCATGCATAGCGATGGTGAAGACTCATTTGCCCAGACAAGGATCCTAGAGTCTGATCTAAAGTGGTTGATGATGCAGTTTAGTATCCCAGCTCAATCATCCTTCCTTGACCTGAATAATGAATCCCAAGGCTCTGTGATCCCATTTCTTTTCCTCACACCCCCAGATTACTGTGTACTTGCTATGAAACTGTAAGTTTTGTTCCACTTTGCCAAATGGCCAATTCGCACAACTGGTTAGTGTTTCCCCCTTATCCGCTAGATGTTCCACAGTCCACACTGCCATGCTTAGTTTTCTTTAGAGGAGAGAGTACAGTGGAGATGTAAGGAGTTAGCAAGAACAAACTTTCTAAAGCACATAATCTTTCTGATCTTCAGTTCCCCTTTTCTTGAACGGTGACACCTTGCGCTGTCTTCTTTCCTCGTCTTGCACCCTGGTTCACCAATGGAAGGGAGTCCAGTACAAGATATTGTGAATTTTGTTGTTGTTTAGTCGTGTCCGACTCTTCGTGACCCCATGGACCAGAGCACGCCAGGCACCTCTGTCCTCCACTACCTCCCGCAGTTTGGTCAAACTCATGCTGGTAACCTCGAAAACACTATCCAACCATCTCGTCCTCTGTCGCCCCCTTCTTCTTGTGCCCTCCATCTTTCCCAACATCAGTGTCTTCTCCAGGGAGTCTTCTCTTCTCATGAGGTGGCCAAAGTATTGGAGCCTCAGCTTCACGATCTGTCCTTCCAGTGAGCACTCAGGGCTGATTTCCTTAAGAATGGATGCGTTAATTGTGAATTACCTAGTGTGAATTTGCTTTGTTAAATTCATTTAACATGGTAGGTGGGTGATATAAAGAGATTTTTTGTGGCTCTTGTGCATGCCTGCATGACTTTCTTTTGTTACCTGTTTAATTTTGTTACCTGTTACCTGGGAGCCAGTGTGGTGTAGTGGTTAAGAGCGGTGGGCTCGTAATCTGGTGAACCGGGTTCGCGTCTCCGCTCCTCCACATGCAGCTGCTGGGTGACCTTGGGCTAGTCACACTTCTTTGAAGTCTCTCAGCCCCACTCACCTCACAGAGTGTTTGTTGTGGGGGAGGAAGGGAAAGGAGAATCTTAGCCGCTTTGAGACTCCTGAAGGGGAGTGAAAGGTGGGATATCAAATCCAAACTCTTCTTCTTCTTCTTCTAATTTGCCCTGAGCTTTGGGAATGATTTGTTGAATGGTGCAGTAATCTGAAGCTGGTGAGAGACTCAAAGATCCCAACTGTGTTGAAGCTCAATGTTTATCCCCTTGGATCCAGGGTGCAGAATTTTGAAACATTTCAAAAAATCCAAAAGCATGCTTTCTTTTGAGCTTGCCTATTCTTTTAAAATAAACACTTTTAAAAAGATCCATTGGTGCAAGGCAACGGTGTATAGCTCCATCAAAAACGAGTCTCGCTCTCTACAGGGCTAAAATAATGTCTCCAAGGAAGAGCCAAAGAGGAGCCTTCCCAACTCTGCTTACTCAGGTTACAGTTTCCCCCAGGAGAATGTGCAAAACCGCATTAGCCACTTTCAGTATCTAAACAAACACTCACTCTTCCCTCCCTTTCTCAACACACACCCCACAGAGAAATGACTCTCTCTCTCTCTCTCTCTCTCAAACTGAGCTCTGACACCGTGGAGGAGAAATTGCTCCAAGAAAAAATGGTAAAAAGGTTGCAGCAACAATGAATGGGATTTTTCTCATCGTTGGGAGACACTGGGATGAAATTGGTGTCCATTTGGACTTAAGTAAAGCCTAGAGACCTCATTTAGAAAGCCAGGAAAAACATGTAAGTCTCTTTTGTGGTTTATAATTTCCCTCCTTTCCCCAAGAGGGAGAGGGGATATTTAGCACCAAGAACATTTTCGCATCTTGGCGCATTTTTGATAACCAAAGCTCTTTTTAGATTCATCTGGGGTGAATTCTTTATTTTCTTTTTTAAAAAACCCACCAACTGTAAAAAAACTTCTTTGTTTCATGGAGGAAAGAGAGAGAATCATAATTTGCTTTTGAATATAGTGTTATTGATTTCCAGTTCCTTGGGGTTGAATTAAGGATTGGAATGAATGTAATTTCCTTTATGGGTGAGAGGTAATCAACTAAATTAATTAACTTATCGCTAGAATTTGGAAATCTAATACCACCGGGTCAATAAATGGATTGATCTAACAACCCAGAAAATGTTCATTATACATACCTATCAAACAGTAGATTATTATTAATTTTATTAAAATGGGTTTATTTCAGGAGACAATGAGATTGAAAGGCGGGGTGAAAGGTTAGAATCTTATTTAAATATGTAACTCATAAAGTATACTGTGAATTTAATTGGATGTGGTTCTAGTGTTTACAAGAGTAAGAATGAATTTTTGCATGCTCTCTAGCTCTTCAAAGCATCTTTTCTTTTAAAGAAGAAATGAAATAATCACAACTTCATAGTGTTCCATGTGTAGTTGCACCATAGATAAGCTATTATGACAACTGCACTTACATTTTCATCAGTTGTCTAATAATTCCTAGCATAGAGTATGGTTTTTCTATTGCCAGTATTTATTGGGTGACATTATCTGTGAGCCTCTACTATGAACCCAATCTATTGATCGTAGATGGCTACAATCAGTTCCAACCTAACTGATGTATGTGTGAACGTAGATATTCTCTTCCAGAGTTATGCAATCTCTTTCATTGAATCTTCTTTGCTGTTCTGTTGTACGGTCACACTGTTTAGAGAGATTCTTTTGAGACTCTTCATAGTGTTCTTGGGCTTACACCAAACTGAATGGTATTATCTGTAAAACTGGCTAACTCATGGGTGAACTCTCAACTCCAAATGGTTTAGGAATATGTTTTATATCACCATGCCTCATATAAAAACTTTTGCTTCTCTCCACTGTGAACACTGTCTGTTTAACCACACTTTCTGCTTCAAGCTTTGTAACCAGTTATTGATCCCTAAGAGAACAGGACCTCTTATGCTATGACTGTTAAATCTTCTTAAGAATTTTTGTGAGGGATTTTTCATTTATTTTTTACATTTCCCTCCCCAAAATCAAAGTGTATGCTGTCTGTTGGAGCACACATAGAATTCTAGGTTGATGAGGCAGGATTTCCTTTTCATTTACTTAAAAACAAACTGGAAGGAGACTATACCAGCAGAACACATAACCAACAAAATGAAACAGCAATGCAGTTGTTTGCCGATGCCCCGTTGATCCTTTTTTGGCAAGGATTTAATTAACACATTTTTTAAATAATAATAATAATATCTTTATTGTCATTACCCCCTCTCGGGGACAACGAAATTACTTGACTGCTCCATAAAAACACTAATTAAAACAATACAGTATAGTACAGCAAGGAAGATTAGATGACTTTCAAAGTCCAGGCTTCCCATTCAGAGCCGAGATCGCTCTGGAGAAGAAGCTGTTCTTAAGACGGCTCGTTCTTGTCTTCATTGTCCTGTATCTCCGTCCCGATGGCAGGAGCTCGAAGAGACAGTGACCAGGATGCGATGGATCTTTTACTATGTCCAGTGCCTTCCTATGGCACCTTGTGGCATAAATCTGCTCTAAGGTGGAGAGTGGGCAGCCAACAATGCTCTCTGCTGCCTTAACAACTCTGCACAACCCCATCCTGTCCTGGGTAGTACAGCTTCCGTACCACACACATAAGCCATAAGTGAGCACGCTCTCAATGGCACAGTGATAGAAGGCAAGCAGCAGTTTCTGTGGAAGATGGTTTTTCCTTAGAATTCTCAAAAAGTACAGTCTCTGCTGCGCCTTCTTCACAAGCCCCCTTGTGTTGACACTCCAGGTGTGATATGTGTTATGAGCAGTGGCACATGAGACAGCCTGACAATGGCGGCGCTGAGTTTATCTGGAAAGGTATGGTGTCAGGTGAGATGGTGGCATAGGAGCTCTGGGGTGGTGGCCCCCAGGTCACCACTACCAGCCCTGCCCACCCCTTCCCAAAGGCACTGCTGGTTACAATGCTTCCTATTGCTTTGAGATAATGCACAATTGGCTGTGAACTTTGGATATACTGTTTGAGCACAATGGCTTAACCAGGGCTTTTGTGAATGAGAATGTTGGCGAGAAATATAAATTTGATAAAGAGGTGTCTATAGCCAAAAGTATGGGACACGGGTGGCGTTGTGGGTAAAAGCCTCAGCGCCTAGGGCTTGCCGATCGAAAGGTTGGCAGTTCGAATCCCCGCGGCGGGGTGCGCTCCCGTTGCTCGGTCCCAGTGCCTGCCAACCTAGCAGTTCGAAAGCACCCCCGGGTGCAAGTAGATAAATAGGGACCGCTTACTAGCGGGAAGGTAAACGGCGTTCTGTGTGCTGCGCTGGCTCGCCATATGCAGCTTGTCACGCTGGCCACATGACCCGGAAGTGTCTGCGGACAGCGCTGGCCCCCGGCCTATAGAGTGAGATGGGCGCACAACCCTAGAGTCTGTCAAGACTGGCCCGTACGGACAGGGGTACCTTTACCTTTACCTTATAGCCAAAAGTAATAATACCAGAAAAGCCATTAATCTTACAGCAAAGAAGAAATAAGAATAAGGCATCAACGTTCACGATTGTTACCAAATGACAATGAGACATTCCTAAATTTCAGAGAGTCAGCATCTAATGCCTTCTGGGTCAAATTCAGCCGGCAGATGGTACCAAGTCCAACAACTGTTAACTTATGTTCCCTCTTCTCCTCGACCTTTTGCACGAATCAGGCAGCAAGGTAGGGACAAAGGAATTATAGGTGTACAATGTACTCGCTGAAGGGCATTGCCAGCACATTTCACTGTGAGAATTTGAGTTGGCGCCTCTTGGCTTATCAGCCTTAACAGCTTCTTCGTAACGTTCTTTATCAGCAAGCTAGTTGTGAAACAATATGCAACTGCCACATGAATGATAGAACAAGAATTGTTGAAATTTCAACTGCTGAAAGTCGAGTAAGCTAGAGATGATGGTAGATCAGCTGTTCTATGCCATGTTATCACATATTCTTTAGACAACTTTGTTCTGATCTCTGGTTTATTCTCCTGAGCTGCCAAATAATTCATTAGTAAATATTCTACACATTCCACTTTAGAATCCGAAAGTCCCGAACAGCCACACAATTTCATCTTCTGTGTCTATGGTTCACTTTAGAGGATGACAAATGCTTAGCCTGCAATGGGTTTTCAGAGGGAAAAGCTCTTAGAAGAGGCTGGCAGACCGAGATGATTGCTTCGTAATTTAGCATCAGGTTTCCCGGAAGGATTCCGTGCTGGTGGTGGCTCTTGGAGATGGCAATCTAATTTCGTTATGGTGAATCAGCATGGAATAAGCAATTGCATTTGTATTTCATGCTTCCTCCCTCCAAGAAGTACTGCAGAGTGGGTTTCCCTACAGCACAGGTGGGGAGCCTGTGGCCCTTCAGATGTTGCTGAACTCTCCCGTCATCCCTCACCACGGGGCAGGCTGACTGTGGCTTATGGGGGTTGGAGTCCAACACCATCTGGAGGGCCTACCAGAATTCTTTGGGCCTTGCTCAAAAGCAATTCAATTAAAGTGATTGCAGCTGGATAGGGAAAGCAGGGTCTTCTCTTCTTTTCTGATAAGGCTATGGGATGATGTTCCAGAAGACATTCCATACCATACTTCCCTTCTAACTTGTCAAAACACTTATGAAATGTTTTGGAGGCTATTTGAGATTAGGCTATTTGGTTTTATGGTTTGGCTTTCAAATAAGATAATGCTGGTGTTCACTGCTATTTTTCTGGCTTGTCGGGAGCACGTGGTTTTAAGGGTGTAAATAGAGATAGGCAACTCAGTTTATATCTGGTCCATGTTATTTTTGCATGTGTTCATGAATACGTATGTTCCACCCCAGTTCTACATTAATTTGTGATTAAAAAAAACTCCATGAAAATTCATTTATAAAAACACATTTTAAAATGATTTTCTCCCAAAATATGCATTTTTGAACATTATATCTTTTGAGTTGAGAACTAATTTAGGACATTCAGGAAGTATGAAAGCTGGTGGGTAATTGAGTTCTGAGCTGTACATTAGTTTGGGAGGTACAGACTGAGAACATACCTATCAAGAAAACCTGGTTTCTGCACCCTGCATAAATTGGGTATGGCAAGAATGACTGCTGAGGTGTGCTTCTTTAGTGTAAACTCCATTGTCTTCCATATTTAAAATACTCCCGCCACCGCAAGAACTCTTACATGGAACCACCTCTTTCATCCTGAAAACCCACCCGTTGTTTGCAAGCTTTATCCTTTAATTCCTTCAGTTCTCAACTTCAACCAAAACAAAGTTTTTTAAACTGTATTGCTCACTCATAATCCTTGCCACTTCCATTCCATTCCTTCTCCTGCTGCTTTCACCTACTTCCTTTGCATTTCCATGTTGCACCCTCTCTCACTATCTAAATATAGCCAGATAAAATTATTTTTTTAGTTACTGTAATAGTAAACCCCAGCACACCTCACAGAACTCTGTATGCATGGGGTCCCTGCTGTCCCAGGGAACTGCTCACCCTTCTCTCCCTTCCTCTACTTTTGGTTCTGAGCAGTTAGGTGCTCATCAGCGCTGACAGGGGTTGGAAGGGAGATATGGTAGGAGATAGGAAATACGGAAGAGAGTGCCCAGACTGAGGTTGGAAAGAAACTTCACAAGTGAAACAGCCCTTCAATGGACAGAGAAGATTGTGTGCCATCTCAAGACAAGTGTAATTGTATTAACATTGAAGACAGCAAGAAGTGCTTAACTGTATGGATTAAACCACTCAGATTTCACAT